TTCTCAGATGTACACAGAACGTTGTCCAGGACAGACCACATATCAGACCATAAAACAAACTTCAATAAAGGTAGAAGGAGTACAAAATATGTTCTCTGAACACAATGGAATCAAATTAGAAATCAAGAGCAAAGGGAAATCAGGGAAATATATAGAGATTAAACAACATATTCCTAAATAATGAATGGATCAAAGAAAAAAAATCATAAGAGAAATTAGAAAATACCTGGAAATGAATGAAAATGAAGACATACTAAAATTATGGAATACAAGTAAAACAGTTATCAGGGGGAGATTTGTAGCTGTAAATGCCAATATTAAAGGAGAAGGAAGGTCTCAAATTAGATGACCTTCCACATCATCTTAGTCTGTTTTGCATTATTTTAATAAAGGAATACCCACGGCTGGGTAATAAATAAAGAAAAGATGTTTATTTGGCTCATGGTTCTGCAGGCTGTATAAGAAGCATGGCACCTGCATCTGCTTCTGGTGAGGGCTTCAGGGAGCTTCTATTTCCTGAAGCAAAGGTGAAGGTGAGCAGGCATCACACAGCAAGAGGAAGGAAGCAAGAGAGAGAGGGGAAAAAGGTGCCAGCCTCTCTTTAACAATCAGTTCTCATGGGAACTAACAGAGCAAGAACTCACTTATTACCACTAGAACAGCACCAAGTCATTCATAAGGGATCTGCCCCCATGATCCAAACACCTCCCACTATGCCCTACCTCCAATACTGGGAATCAAATTTTAACATGAGATTTGGAGGGGACAGATATCCAAACTATATTATACATTAAGACACTAGGAAAAGAAAATCAAACTAAACCTAAGGCAAGCAGAAGAAAGAAAATTTAATAAAGATTAAAGCAAAATTTATTAAGGTAATAGGAAAACAATTAAAAAAATCAATGAAACCAAAAACTGGTTCTTGAAAAGATCAACAAGATTGACAAATCTTTAGCTAGACTGATCAGAGAGAGAGAGAGAGAAGATGCAAATGAAAGAGGAAACATTACTACTGCACTTACAGAAATAAAAAGGATATAAGAAATACAATAAATAATTGCATGCCAATAAATTCAATGACTTAGATGAAATGGACAAATTCCTAGACATATATACTACTAAAATTGACTCTAGAATAAATGACACAATCTGAAAAGATGGTAAAATTTGAGTTTGAATTAACAATAAAAAAAATTACCCAGACCCAGATGGTACCACTGCTGAATTCTACCAAATATTTAAGGAATAATTAATACCAATTCTGCACAAACTCTTTCAAAAGATAAAAGAGGAGGAAATATTTCCTAAATTATTCTGTGAGGTCAGTATTACCTTGATACCACAACCAGATGGACATCAGAAAAAAAGAGAACTACAGACCAATATCTCTTTTAAATACAGATGCAAAAAATCCTCAACAAAATATTAGCAAACTGAACATACTAGCATATAAAATGGGTTATACATTACAGCCAAATGGAATTCACCCCAGGAATGCAAGGTTCGTTCAACATATACAAACAAATCAGGCCAGGTGTGAGGGCTCATGCCTGTAATCCCCACACTTTTGGAGGCTGAGGAAGGAGGATCACTTGAGCCCAGGAGTTCAAGACCAGCCTGGGCAACATAAGGAGACCTCATCTCTACCAAAAACAAACAAAAAAAAAATTAGCCAGGCATGGTGGTGCACACCTGTGGTCCCAGCTACTCAGGAGGCTGAGGTGGGAGGATCGCTTGAGCCTGAGAAATAAAGGCTGCAGTGAGCCGTAATTATACCACTGCACTCCAGCCTGGATGACAGACCAAGATCCTGTTTAAAAAAAACAGAAACAAAAAAACGAAAAACAATGTAAGACACCATATTAATAATGGGAGAAAAACTCAGCACCTCAGTAGATATGGAAAAAGCATTTGGCAAAATCTAAGACTCTTTTATGATAAAAACACTCAACAAAGTAGTGCTAGAAGGGAACTTCCTCAACCTGATAAAGGGCTTCTACAAAACACTCACACCCAATGTTATGTTTAGTGATGAAAGAAGGAATGCTTTCCTCCTAACATCAGGAAAAAGATAATGATGGCTGCTCTGCCATTTCTATTCAATATTTGTCTAATTTATTCAACTAATTTCTTGCAATAAAGCAAGACAATGTTATGGCATCCAGATTATAAAGGAAGAAGTAAAAATATCTCTATTTGCAGATCCTGTTTATAGAATATCCTATGGAATCCACTAAAAATATATTAGAAAAATATATTAGAACTACTAAGTAGTTTAGCACAGTTGAGGACACAAATCAATATGCAAAAAGTAACTGGACTCCTGTGCACTTGCAATGAACAATCTGGAAATAAAATTAGGAAAAAAATCCATTTAAAATAGCATCAAAAATAATAAAATACTTTGACACAAATTTAATTTTAAAAGTTCAGGCCAGGCACAGTGGCTCATGCCTGTAGTCCCAGTATCTTGGGAGGCTGAGGCAAGAGGATTGCTTGAGCCCAGGAGTTTGAGGATGCAGGGAGCTATGATCTTGCCACTGCACTCCAGTCTGGGTAACAGCAAGATCCTGTTTCAAACAAAACACAAAAAACACTTTTACTCTGAAAACTACAAAACATTGAAAGAAATAAAAGATTATCTTAAAAAATGGAAAAACTTCCCATGTTCATGGATCATAAGACTTAATATTATTAGGAGAGCAATATTCTCCAAATTGATCTATGGATTCAACATAATTCCTATTATAATCCCAGCTGATTTTTGCAGAAATTGAAAACCTGATTCTAAAATTCATATGGAATTGTAACGATCCAAATCAATCCTAAAAAAGAAGAACAAATTGGGAGGCTGCATATTTCCTAGTTTTACAACTACAAGGCTAGTTTTACAACTACAAGGCTACAATAACCAAAATAGTGTGATAATGGCATAAAGATAGACATATGGATCAATGGAATAGAATTGAGAGTCCAGAAATAAATCCATGTATTTAATGTTCAACTGATTTCAACAAGGGTGCTAATACCATTCAATGGGGGAAAGAATAGTCTTTTCAACATATGGTGTTGGGATAATTCGATATCTACATGCAACAGAATGAAATGAATCTTTACCTCACACCCTATGCAAAAAACATTAACTCAAAATGGATCAAATACTTAAATATATGAACTAAAACTACAAAACTCTTGGAAGAAAACATAGAAGTACATTTTCACAATTTGAATTTGGCAATGGCTTCTTATATATAAGAAAAGCGTGAGCTTAAAAAAATAGATAAACTGAATTTATCAAAATTAAAAACTTGTGCTTTAAAGGACACCATCAAAAAAGTGAAAAACAACAGAACGGGAGAAAATATTTTCAAGTCATATAGCTGATAAGGGACTTTTATCCAGACTATAGGAAGAATTCTCACAACTCAATAATGAAAAGACAAATTACCTAATTAAAAAATAGGCAAAGGACTCAAATAGACATTTCTTCAAAGAAAATATACAAATGGCCAAAAGCACATGAAAAGACGATTAACATCATTACTCATTGGAGAACCGAAAATCAAAACCACAGGAAATAACACTTTACACTCACTAGAATGGCTGGAATCAGACAGTCAGATAATAAGTGTTGGCAAGGATGTGGTGAAATTGGAACCTTCATATACTCCTGGTGGGAATGTAAAAGTGCAGCCACTCTGGCATACAGTCTGGCAGTTCCTCAAACAATTAAACACAAAGCAACCATATGACTCAGCAATTCCACTCCTAGATATATACCAAAGAAAAATGAAAATATGTCATTTTTCTTACATATGAATGTTCATAGCAGCATTATTCATAATAGCCAAAAGGTAAAAACAACCTAAAGGTCCACTGATGATGAATGAAAAACAAAATGCAGTCTGATCTATCCACACAATGGAATAATATTTGGTTATAAAAAGGGCTGGCATGGTGGCTCATGCCTGTAATCCTAGCACTTTGGGAGGCCAAGGTGGGAGGATTGTTTAAGGCCAGGAGTTTGAGATTGGCCTGGGCAACACAGTGAAACCTCATCTCTGTAAAAAATGCGAAAACTAGCCAGGTGTGGTGGCATGCACCTGTAGTCCCAGCTACTTGGGAGGCTGAGGTGGGAAGATCACTTGAGCCTGGGAGGTTGAGGCCACAGTGAGTCGTGGTCACGTCACTGCACTCTAGCCTGGTGACAGAGTGAGACCCTGTCTCTAAAAAGAAAAAAAGGAATGAAATAGTGATACATGCTACAACATGGATGAACCATGAAAACATTCTGCTAAGTGGAAGATGCCAGTTACAAAAGACCACAAATACAATTCCATTTACATGAAATGTCCAGAGCAGAAAAATTTTAGAGACAGAAGATTAGTGATTGCTTAGGACCGGAGGGATGAGTGTTAGGGTGGTGACAGCTAAAACATATGGAATTTCTTTCTGAAATGATGAAAATGTTCTAAAGATGACTGTAGTAATGGTCGTACAACTCTGGAAATATACTAAACTCCATTGAATTGTACCCTTGAAATGGGTGAACAACACAGCATGTGAACTGCATCTCAATGAAACTTAAAAAAATAATACAGTGGGAAGAAAAAGTCTGGCAACTTCTGACTGTCTCTTCAGCCCCTACTAGTCCCTTTTAGCCAGAAAATCTTATCATTCGATCCTCACAACAGCATCAATACCCTTCCTTCCATGTTCCTTTTCTCAACTCATACACCCACAGCCATTCTCTGTTGCTTGAGAAAATAAGCACGAGGCAATAGTCACAGCCTTCTTGTAGCTGGAAAGTGAGTTTTAAAAACCAGCAGGACATCAGGCAGAGATGTTCACCAAACAATAGGAAATTCAGGGCAGAGGCAGCAAAGAATGGTTAAAGAGGTGAGATGGGCAGACGGGAAAAACTCCATCAGGTCTCAGTACGCCAGCTAACATCCTGACTTGTGCATGAGGAGGACAGGGCCAGGCCACTCTCTTACCGACAAGGGCCAGCTGATACAGGTGAGCACGCGGTAGAAGCGGAACAGGTGGACCAGGTAAAAGGCGAGGATCATTATCAAGTCGCAAATGGTGACCACTTCAAAGTAGCTGTAGGCGCTGTAGTTGGTCCACGGGGAGCTCCGCACGCAGATGAAGGCAATCAGCAGGGTGACCTGCCACATAAATAGAGACATCAGAGAAATGCTTGCCCAAGACGGGCACCCAGGGAATAAACAATGGAAAACAAACCAAGCATCCCCCGGCAGTCCCAAATTGAAGAACTGCTATTAATACAACTCAGGTTATTTCCACACAAACTGGCTGGAAGGTTGGAAGGTGCAACTTCATATGGTACACACTTTGAAAACTACACACTGGCTGTGAACACTGATGACGGCAGAGACTGACTTTGTCCTCTCTGAAGTTCGTTAGATTGTGCTGGCAGGAAGCCCCCTCAGAAGCAGCAGGAAAACAGTAAAATATAAAAGCAGAACCATCCCTTTCATCCGCTGGATATCCACAGAGCAAAGAAGACAGCGTGATGGTGACCTGGGGTTTACACATTAGATCCAATTGTATGAAGTTGCCAATATTTGATGGTTTTCGACCTACAAAGATGGCAATTCATACCTTACAGCTATCAACTGACAGATAACAAGTTACCATTTACTGAAATCTGACGTACATGATCTCACTAAGGCCATGCAGAACCCTGCCAGGTAGACAAAATCATCCCCGTGTTCATAAGGGTAGACTGAGGCATGCAGGTTCAATCTCAGTCCAAGGCTATCTGGCTTGTAAGCAGGAGAAGTGGGATTTGAATCCAGATCTGTCTGACTCTAAGGACCATGTTCCTCCACGTCAGATGGAGTTCTACCTCCCAAAAGTGTAAGCTGTCATCATAACAAGCCGAGAAAGGTGGACGGGTTCTCAACCCTGTGGGAATCCTGTTTAAGAGATAAGGCTGCTCGCCATCATGGCATGTGGTGAGAGCTCACTAAGAAATATCGCAGCACGAGTGAACATGCTTAACAGCCCGCTACTGGATTAATAATCAGATGAAATATTATTAGCAATGCATGAGTACAAGAGAGTAGAATGAGTAAGAGTCAGAGCTTCTGTGAAGGCCACTCAAAGAGAAAACCTGTCTACTCCATGTACAGGACAAACCAGTAACACACAGGGTTCAATGTGTGTAAAATCTTAGAATCTATTTTATTTATTTATTTGTTTATTTTTTTTTGTTTTTGTTTTTTTGAGATAGGGTCTGGCTCTGTCTCTCAGACTGGAGTGCAGTGAACCAATCTCAGCTCACTGAGACCTCTGCCTCCTGGGCTCAAGCCATCCTTCCACCCTAGCTTCTCAAGTAGCTAGGATTATAGGCGTGTGCCATCATGCCTAGCTGATTTTTGTATTTTTAGTAGAGACGGGGTTTTGCCATGTGGCCCAGGCTGGTCTCAAACTCCTGAGCTCAAGCAGTCCGCCCGCCTTGGCCTCCCAAAGTGCTGGGATTATGGACGTAAGCCATTGTTTCCAACCAGGAATCTATTTAAAATGCACAACCAACTTAGGAAAACGATTATTTTATACTGCCTCTTTCCTATAGAGGAGTGTTTTTTTTTGTTTTTTTTTTTCCTTTGACATGGAGTCTCGCTGTGTCGCCCAGGCTGGAGTGCAGTAGCATGATCTTGGCTCACTGCAACCTCTGCCTACAAGGTACAAGTGATTCTTGCCTCAGCCTCCCGAGTAGCTGGGACTACAGGCATGCAACACCATGCCCAGCTAATTTTTGCATTTTTAGTAGAGACGGGGTTTCACCATGTTGGCCAGAATGGTCTTAAACTCCTGAACTCAAGTGATCCGCCTGCCCCAGCTCCCCAAAGTCGCTGTGATTACAGGCGTGAGCCACCACGCCTGGCCAGAGCAGTGATTCTTAAAGTGTGTGTGTGCGTGTGTGTGTGTGTGTGAGGGGGTATGTGAATGGGTGTGCGATTTTGTGTCCTGTGAGACATTTGGCAATGTGTGGATATATTTTTGGTTTACACAATTTGCGGGGATGGGCGTTGCTACTGGCATTTAGTAGGTAGAGGCCCAGGGTGCTGCTAAACACCCTGCAATAAATAGGAGAGCTCCCATAGTAAAGAATTACCCAGCTCCAGCCCCAAATGTGGCCCCTCAACTACAATACTATTGTTGAAAAACTGCTGTAGAAAATGTCAGTCTACAATGAGAATTAAATCACAAAATGGGGCCTGGTGCAGTAGCTCACGCCTGCAATCCCAGCACTTTGGGAGGCCGAGGCGGGTGGATCACCTGAAGCCAGGAATTTGAGAAGCCTGGGCAACAAGCAAGACCCTGTCTCTACAAAAAATACAAAAATTAGCTGGGCGTGGTGGCGTGCACCTGTGGTCTCAGCGACTTGGGAGGCTGAGGTGGGAGGATGAATTGAGCCTAGGAGGTCGAGGTTGCAGTGAGCTATTATTATGTCACTGCAGTCCAGCCTGCAAGACAGAGTGAGAGTGCGTCTCTAAAAAATCAAAATCAAATCAAATCACAAAATGGATCTAACTCCAGTTAAAACAGTTGATGCTGAAATGCTCCTAGTTTCTAAAGCCCCTTGTGGCTAGCCCGCTACCAAGATCCTCAGCAACAGGTACAACAGCTAAAAGAGGACTCTCAGCCAGAAGAAGCCTGAAGTGGGCATGGAGAGTGCTCTGCTTACCAGATCAAAACAGAAGAGTGTGGCTCAGACACGAAGAGTCCCTCAACATTTGTGTATTTCCCTTTGCTAATGAGCAACGCCAAGGGTTTTCATTTTTTCGGTTCCTCTGAAGCTAGCCAGCCATGGTGATATAATGATTCACACCTCTGCCTTACTCAGAAGTGTGCATGATCGCCAGGGCTTTGCTGCTACGTCAGTCTTACTTCCAGGCCACACCTACACGGGGAAGTCTAGGGGTCTTCCCAGCCCCACACTGACCTCCTCATGAACTCAAGAAGTATTATTCAAGGCATGACTGAAAATGTAGATAATGTGCAATTATGCAGTGTGATTCCTAGGTAAAGAGGCAATTTTGCATCTAGTTTAATGCAGAGATTAAAATAATTTTCCAACTCTTCGTTGAAGACAAAGTTAGCTCTTTATCATGGTGACACAGGGATGTGGAAGTTTCCCAGCGCACAAAAGGGGCCTGTGCAGGTCTCCCCGCTCCGAGCTTCCAGGGCTGAGTACTGTGTGACAGGAAGTGCATTCCTGCTCTGTTAGAAACATCTCAAACCTCCGTGGGAAACGTGCTCATGAAATAACACTTCCTGAATTCGGTTCACTTGGCCTATGGCCGTCTACCATATGCCTTTCTTTAGGAAAGCCCAATTTTAGAAAATCTAATTTAGCCAGAGTATGGTGTGTGCTTATGCATGCTCCTAAAAGCTTCCTTTTTGCCCAGGGATTCATTCATTCCAAGTTTAAATAGCGAGCATCTTAGCCAGCACATTAAATTAAAAAAAAAAAAAAATTCACTGACATCAAACTTTTCAGAAATCCTTCTAAAGCCAGTAGGTAACTTCTGCAAATGCTGGGGCCCCCTGAATTATTTAGAGGCTTAATTCCTGGGTGTCAAAATAATCTGTACAACAACCCCCTCCCATGACATGAGTTTACCATATAACAAACCTACACGTGTACCCCTGAACTTAATATACAAGTTGAAAAAAAAGGAAAGGTGAAGTAGAAGAAAGAACAAGACGGCCGGGCGCAGTGGCTCAAGCCTGTAATCCCAGCACTTTGGGAGGCCGAGACGGGCGGATCACGAGGTCAGGAGATCGAGACCATCCTGGCTAACACGGTGAAACCCCCTCTCTACTAAAAAATACAAAAAACTAGCCGGGCGAGGTGGCGGGCGCCTGTAGTCCCAGCTACTCGGGAGGCTGAGGCAGGAGAATGGCGTAAACCCGGGAGGTGGAGCTTGCAGTGAGCTGAGATCCGGCCACTGCACTCCAGCCTGGGCGACAAAGAGAGACTCCGTCTCAAAAAAAAAAAAAAAAAAAAAAAAAAAAAAAAAAAGAACAAGACAACAGTGGGGAAAAGGCGCTGGGGTGTTTATCCCTGCCCTCCTCCCGCCAGCTCTACCCCTCTCAGGTGTCTTCATGTTCCCAGTTAGAAAAGCAAATGAACGGCCGGGAGCGGCGGTTCACGCCTGTAATCCCAGCACTTTGGGAGGCCGAGGTGGGTGGATCACGAGGTCAGGAGATCGAGACCATCCTGGCTAATACGGCGAAATCCCGTCTCTACTAAAAATATAAAAAATTAGCCGGGCGTAGTGGCGGGCGCCTGTAGTCCCAGCTACTCAGGAGGCTGAGGCAGGAGAATGGCGTGAACCCCGGCCTGGGCGAAAGAGCAAGGTTTCCGTCTCGGGGGGGGAAAAAAAAAAAAGGCACATGAACAGACATGCCTGAATTGAGAGACGACTGGAGGTCGGGGTTCCGACTTGAGGACCGAGTGAAGCAGCTGGGAGGCTCCCGGAAGACGATGTTTCTGTGTAGAGTGACTTCAAAGTGATGCTGTCCAAAGGGTTCACTTGTCTCTTAAGGTGCCTTCTAGCTCCTCTCATAACGGTTTCTTATTTTATATTGAACTGTCATAAAAATAAAATATCTAACATAAATGTCCAGGAGTTTATTTCATTTATTTTATTTTTTTGAGATGGTGTCTCACTCTGTCGCTAGGCAGGAGTGCAGTGGCAACATCTTGGCTCACTGCAATCTCCAACTCCCTGATTCAAGGGATTCTCCTGCCTCAGCTTCACGAGTAGCTGGGATTACAGGCATGCGCCACCATGCCCGGCTAATTTTTGTATTTTTAGTAGAGACAGAGTTTCACCATGTTGGCCAGGAGGGTCTCGATCTCCTGACCTCGTGATCTGCATGCCTTGGCCTCCCAAAGTGTTGGGATTACAGGTGTGAGTCACCGAGCCCGGCCTGTTTTTTTCTTTTGAGACAGAGTCTTGCTCCAGGCTGAAGTGCAGTGGCGCAATCTCCACTCACTGCAACCTCTGCCTCCTGGGTTCAAGTGATTCTCCTGCCTCAGCTTCTCGAGTAGCTGGGACTACAGGTTTGTACCACCACGGCCAGCTAATTTTTGTATTTTCAGTAGAGACAGGGTTTCACCATATTTGTCAGGCTGGTCTTAAACTCCTGACCTCAAGTGATCCACACACCTCAGCCTCCCAAAGTGCTAGGATTACAGGTGTGAGCCACGGTGCCCAGCCATGTCCAGGGGTTTAAAAGTAACACTGCAAGAGCCCTCAACTCAAAGCAAGGGTCCCACAGACCAGCCATGACACCACAGAGTCACTGGAATTAGAATTCCAGATTAAAAACATCACTCCCCGAAACCCGTGTCCTTTCTGACTCCATTCTGTCAGAATTCTTACTAGAAAGAAGACATTATTTTTTTGAAGGAGCAGAGGGTTTACATTTCACAAGAGATGAAGCAAGCTGACATGATCTGAGAAAGTGACGGTCCCCTGAGGACTCTGGAACCAAACTAGTCTGGTTGCAGCTTGAGTGTATACCCACAGCCAGCCAGGTGCCAGAAAGTTTGCCCAGGTTCTCAGCCTGGCTGAGTATCCTCCCAGAAAGAAATGAGATTTTGATGTCTAAGATGAAAAACTCTAGAGAAAACTCAAGAGGCAGTTTTCAAGAGATGCCTGCTTCTGAGCTGGGCTGGGGAGGTGTCTGGTGGTCTCAGGACCCTGTCTCCTGCCACCCATGCTGGGGAACATTTCCTCAGCAGACCTGAGCCCTCGTGCCTCTGCCAACTCTGGTCCACTGAGTGTGCCTGTGTCTGGCTAACGATGCCACCCAGACACCTTTTGTTTTGGAAGCCCTGGGCTGCATGCTGGTAGGTCATCCAACCCCACTCTCCCTGCATCTGACCTTGGAATGAAACTTCAGTGAGAGAAGGCAGGAGGCGGAGAAGTAACTGATGAAAGCCAACATCAAAAGTCTCAGACCCAACTCTAAGAGGCTTTCCAGGAAATCCCCAGGATATGAAAGCCAGGCTTGTTCAGAAAGTCAGAGATGCGGATGAGGATGCAGTGCCTGGAACCTGCATTTGTAAATGCAAGTGGGCCCATAAATGACTGCTTGGCAGTGGCACACAGGAAGAGGAATGTGGTATGCTCCCAACTTTGGCTGAATTTTGCACTGAGTGTAAGGAGATTTACCCGTGCCTCCCTGTTAAAGTCATCATCATCTAATAGCCTTTGTGCAATCTCATTAACACCCACTGGCTGAGAAACCTGCCCCGTGGCTTCCTCTAGGTCCTGTCTCACTCACCAACATCAGAATCTTGCCCCAGGGTCTGCCCATGGCCCTATCCTCCCCCAAAACAAAACATAGTTCTGTTTTGTATCTACAAATGAAAATGCCATAGAAACCCGAGGGAGGGAGAATAATCTAGGAAACATGTCAGGGGTCCTGAGCTCTAGGACTTGGGCAGGTCAGTGATGCACCACTGGTTTCTGAATGTAACTGCACAGCAGAGTCACCTGTTTACAGCATACCGAAAACCAGATTCTATGTTGGTCCACGCTGGCGTTAATTCTGGAAGGACATAAGAATCTGGTAACAGCACTTGCCTCTGCGGAGGGGAAGTGATATGTAGTAGTTTTAAAAATCCACTTATTTTGTTTTCTTACATTGTAAGAATCACATATTAAGTTTCAAAAAAGCAGTTTTAAAATAACACATCTTAGAGATCTTTAATGTCATGCAAATATAATTTTACCTTTTTCTTTTCATTGGCTATATACTATTCCCCAGTACGGCAGTGGCTTTATTTAACCCAGGGTTTCTCAACCTTGGCATTACTGACATTGGGGGCTGGGTAATTCTTTGTTGTAGGTGGCTGTCCTATAGGTTGTCTTATCACAGCATCCTGGCCTTTACCTACGAGATACCAGCCTTTACCCACTCACCACTTGCAACAATCAACAATGTCTCCAGACATTGCCATAGGTCCCCTGGGGGGCAAAATTGCCTCTGGTTGAGGAGACCTACTTAATCTTTTATTGGTGGGCATTTAGCACATCTCCAGTTTTTCATTAATACAAACAACCTGGCAAAGCATTAGACGTACTTCTTGGTAACTGTATGAATATTTCTTTTTTTTTTCTCTTTTTTTTTTTTGAGATGGAGTCTCTCTCAGTCACCCAGGCTGGAGTGCAGTGGTGCAAGCTCCGCTCACTGCAAGCTCCGCCTCCCAGGTTCACGTCATTCTCCTGCCTCAGCCTCCCGAGTAGCTGGGACTGCAGGCGCCCGCCACCACGCCTGGCTACTTTTTTGTATTTTTAGTAGAAATGGGGTTTCACCGTGTTGGCCAGGATGTCTCAATCTCCTGACCTCATGATCTGCCTGCCTCCGCCTCCCAAAAGTGCTGGGATTACAGGTATGAGCCATGGCGCCCGGTCTCTGTATGAATATTTCTGATAGATTCCTAGAAGTGAAATTACTGAGTGAAAGCATATGCACATTTAAAATTTTGTTGTTTGTTACCAAAATGTTATCCAAAAGAGATACCTGTCTCCCTCCACAGGGAATCTTGCCAACACAGATGAATAGTATTTAAAAAGAATGGAAATAATACCTTATTTGAATTTTCATTTCCTTAATTACTAGTGGATTAGATATCGTTTCATATGTTTATTGGCTACTGCCTTCATGTTCTTGGCTTAATTTTCTATTGCTTCTATTTTTATTATGAATTCAAAGAACTCTTTATATTCTAAATACTGACTTACTTAGTCTCTTATAGATACTGCAAATATATTCTCTCCATTTCTCATTTGCCTTTATTTTTAGTCTTTTGTTTGACTAAAGTTAAAAGTTTTTATACAGTCAAATCTATGCATCAGTTTTTATAGTTTCTGGGTTTTGTGTCTTGTTCTCTATCTCAAAATTATTAAAAAAAAAAAAAAAAAAAAGGCTGGGTGCAGTAGGTGTAATCTCAGTGTTTTGGGAGGCCAAGACAGGCAGGAGGATAACTTGAAGCCAGGAGTTCGAGACCAGCCTTGGCAACATAGTGAGACCCACATCTCTACAAAAAAAATTTTTTAATTGGCCAGACCTGGTGGTATGCACCTGTAGTCCCAGCTACTCAGGAGGCCAAGGCAGGAGGATCACTTGAGCCTAGGAGTTAGAGGCTGCAGTAAGCTGTGGTTGGGCCACTGCACTCCAGCCTGGGTGATAAAGTGAGAACCTAACTCATAAATAAATAAAATAGTCTCCTACATTAAAAATAAATATTTGCTGCCTTTAAAAATATACATACAATTTTTAGCTCTTTAATCATCTGGGATTTATTTTATTATTATTATTACTATTATTATTATTATTTTTTGAGATGGAGCTTCACTCTTGTTGCCCAGGCTGGAGTTCAATGGCGTGATCTCGGCTCACTGCAACCTCTGCCTCCCAGGTTCAAGCAATTCTCCCACTTCAGCCTCCCAAGTAGCTGGGATTACAGGTGCCCACCACCATGTCCAGATATTTTTTTTGTATTTTAGTAGAGACAGGGTTTCACCATGTTGACCAGGCTGGTCTCAAACTCCTGACCTCAGGTGATCCACCCACCTCGGCCTCCCAAAGTGCTAGAATTACAGGTGTGAGCCACTGTGCCCCGCCTGCGATCTATTTTTGTAGATGGCATGAACTAGAACATATAGTAGGGTTCTGACTGTATCCAGTCAGTCAGTCGACTGTATTAACCTATCTACTGGACAGCTCATTCTTTCCCCATTGGTTGAAATGCCACCATTAATAAAAACTTCTATCCACTGTCCAATCCACTGTCCACACAGCAATCATCATCAACTTTAGAACACCTTAAAGTCTTAATGTAAAACCCTTCGATAGTCCCGTACTCTTGAATCAGTTTCAGCATCCTCTAATGAGGCCCAGTGGAGCTGCAGGTTCGGATCCCAGCTACCTCTGCTTCTCTAAACACATTGGGTTCCTAGAGTTCCTCACACCCTGCCCCTCAGGAAGGTCTCGAATATTCTCTTAGGGTACCTTTGCAACCTGTACTATATCTGTGTTTGTTGGTTAACTTGTTTACTGCTAACCTCCCCACCTAGGATGCAAGCTCCACGAGTACAGGGACCCTGTTGGTTTCACTTGTATCCTTTATGTGTCCTGCACATAGTAGGTGCTCAGTTCAACACTGGGTGAATGAATGGTTCCTGGGCTCATCCCGCCATCCTCTATGACAGCTCCATGACACTCTGTTGCATTTAAAAAGCCTACCTCCCTCCTTCACTGGTCTGTAGGACTTTAGGAGAGAACTGTGCTGTGTTTTTGCCAAACATCAATTATGGACCCAGCACAAGGTCCCTTGTGACTAGGAGAGGAGGTGATTTTGGAGGCTGCCCTCAGAGCCTCTTTCCACTTGGTAGAATGTACTCATCAAATGCCCCCAGAGGGTGCCATTCAGGCTCTCCAGGCAGACTACCCAGGGTGTGGGTATGATGTAGGGATTCAGGTTCCAGATTCTTGGCTAGTGATGGGGCCAGAACATTCTCTGCTTGTTATTCAAGCCAGGCCATGTTCTCTTCATCCCTAACCAATTTCTCACAACAGGTGCAGCCCAGACAGATGGCCTGTACCCCAATCACATCACTGAGTCACCACTGTACTTCACTGGCAAAAGGTCTTCAGGATCACATTTAGAAAGATCGGGCTGGGGCCAGGCGCAGTGGCTCACACCTGTAATCCCAGCACTTTGGGAGGCCGAGGCAGGTGAATCATGAGGTCAGGAGATCGAGACCATCCTGGCTAACACGGTGAAACCCCGTCTCTACTAAAGAATACAAAAAATTAGCCGGGCATAGTGGTGAGCGCCTGTAGTCCCAGCTACTCGGGAGGCTGAGGCAGGAGAATGGCGTGAACCCAGGAGGCGGATCTTGCAGTGAGCCGAGATTGTGCCACTGCACTCCAGCCTGGGCGACAGAGCGAAAAAAAAAAAAAAAAAAAGATCGGGCTGGAAAGCTCAACTTGTCAAAAATGTCACTGTGTCCAAAAGGGCAAGAAGCACCATTGACACTTATTGTGTAGCAAACCTGGTGGTTTGGTGCTTGTGTTGAACTGAACTGAAATCACAAATTTTGGTTTGCAACAAGCAATGGTTTTTCTCTAGCTTGTTTCTCTTTCGGTGTCTGACACAATTTCCTGGTTTCTTTTGGGGCTGACTAAATTTCAAGACAGCAATAAGAGCATTTTCTGCCGCTCACTCTTGTCATCACTGCAGGAGGACATGCTTCTTTAGACGGGCATGAGAGCGAAAGGACGGGGCTGTGGACGGCCATCTCCACAAGAAAATCCCTGGAGGGGTAGGTCATCAAAGGGAACCAAGGGCAGCAGACACAATGTGGGGATGCCACAGGGCATTGAGGATTGAACCCCAAAGAGAAGGGTATCTGCTATGGCTATCAGCATGAATCCTAGGATGACAAGAAGAGCAAAAGTAATCACTAACCCTGATTGTACGCTCACCGTGCACCAAGCTCTATGTGCCTTACATCTGTGTGCCATCATATCCTCACAAGCTTACAAGGTAGGCACTATTACTGTCCTCACTGTATCAAACGGAAGGTGAGACACAGAGACATTGAGTTATTTGAGGTGATCATACAACTATTGCATCCAGAGCCAGAGCTGGGACCCAGGCAGCCCAGCTCAGCAGGCACCCTCTTCAGGGCTGCTGCCTCTTGTTGCCATAGCAATGATGTCCCTCGCCATAGAGGCTGTGGCTCCAAAGGGTACCCCGGCCTCACCACTGGTTATTGACATGTGGTCACCAAAAGTGAACAGCATAGCGAGGAATGGGCAGGGAAAATGTCTGGGGGTCAGGGCCATGGGAATCCCCAGGGGCAAAGGAAGCACTAGCTGAGGCAGGGCGGAAGGTATGGAAGGCCAGGGAGTGATTTGGGAAGCCCATGGTGGGAGGAGGCAAGTGGAGCGGCAATCATCTACGGAATACCTGCTAGATACCAGGCAGCGCAATGCTGGTACATTTAATCCTCACAACTGTGGCCAGGTGGCACTCTGCCCAATTCCCAGATCTAAAGAAAGTGAGGACCAAGGGCAGGTCACTTGCCCAAGGAAGATCACCTAGATGGCAAGTGGTGGAACCAAGAAGCAAATCCAGGTCAATCTGAATCCAAGGCTCAAAAGAGGGAGCACATCCCAGAGGGAGGCCTCAAGAAGTGAACTTGGGCTGAAACAACTCAGTGGTTTGAGCTTGTACCCACGCCCAGGGTAGGGGGTGTCTCCTCTGAAGTCAGCAATGTTGACTGGGCTGGTCTCGAACTCCTGGCCTCAAGTTATCTGCCCACCTCAGCCTCCCAAAGTGCTGGGATTATAGGCGTGAGTCACCGTGCCCGGACTAAAATTTTTTTTTTTTCCAGACAAAGTCTTGCTCTGTCGCCCAGGCTGGAATGCAGTGGCGCAATCTTGGCTCACTGCAAGCTCCGCCTCCCGAGTTCACGCCATTCTCCTGCCTCAGCCTCATGTAGCTAGGACTATAGGGGCCCACCACCACGCCTGGCTAATTTTTTGTATTTTTAATAGAGACGAGGTTTCACCATGTTGGCCAGGATGGTCTCGATCTCCTGACCTCATGATTCACCTGCCTCGGACTCCCAAAGTGCTGGGATTACAGGCATGAGCCACCGCACCCGGCCCCTAAAATTTTTAACTAAGTTCATCACAACAGTCCTAGGGGGTAAGTACTACTATCATCTTTTCATGTAGAAACTGAGGCACAGAAGGTCAAGTAACTTGCTCAAAGTCACACAGCCAGGTTAAGGAGCCAGGCCTGGGACCATGGCCTGCAGCTGCAGAGTCCCTATTCCTAACCACTACGCTGCTCCATTACAGGCTGCACTTGCTTGTATACAGAGCCCCCTGTCCCAGCTTCTGGCCTCTGTTTTCAGTCAAGGGCCTAAGTCCTGTCCCACCTGGGAGTGAGCACTGAGAGCTAGGTGACAGAAGGAAAGTCCGTAGTTTAACACTGCCTCAGATTCCCTCACACTGGCCAGCAGGGCTCTGGGACTCCAACTCACAAGGCTCAGCCCATTAGATAGGTTGCTCATGTCAAGTCTCTTGCTTTAATAAAAGTGTTACTCTAGTTATAGGATCAATACTTGCTCACTGTAGAAATTAATTCAGGCAGGTGTCTATTTAAGAAAACAAAAATTACCCATAATGCTACCCCTCAGAGACAACCACCTCCTCTGGCATTGCGAGGTATTTCTTTCCATGTATGTATGTTTCAAGCACATATGTGCTATTTCCTCTTTTCAAAAACGGATCATACTGTACACATAGTTTTATCCTCTGCCTCTTAAAAAGATATTTTCTCATTTGCAGACGCCACTCATTCAATTCAATCCCCTTATCACTGCCCAGGAAGTTGTATATTTTACCTGTCTGCTTACTGTCTGTCACCCCAGAATGTGAGTCCTGTGATGATCTGTTGTGTTCACTGTTGTTTTACCAGTGCCAGAAACCTTGAATGGTATATTGGTTCTCCATAGATATCTGCTGAATAAGTGATTGAATGAACAAATGCAATTTTATATCCTTTTTCTGAGGGCCTTCTGTAGCCCAGGCATTGTGCTGGGCCACGTTCTTACTCCATCTCCACGTACTGTCTAGAGGAGAGGTGAGTAAAGAAACACAAAACCATCACCCTGGTGCGAAGTCTTCTCTCTAACATGTGGGATGAGAGCAGCACGGTCACTCTCTCCTGTCCATCCTGAAACAAGTAGGGGCTTTACACTCAGAAGCAAAGGGTCATCAGGAGCGCTGTGTCACACACACACACACACACACACACACACACACACACACACACACACACTCAGATCAGGGCAGAATGATGCTTCAGTTGGAGACAAGCAGCCTACTAAACGCACATCCCATCGAGGCTGCCTCTGATGACTGCATCATCAACTATGTGCACAGTCTGACCTTGTGTGCACACAGCAGGGACTACATGGATTCCCTGTTTTGTCCCTAGTGCCCAGCACATAGTAGGCTGTCAATAAGTCATGTAGAACTGAATCTGGGGTTGAATCGAATTCTCAACAGTAAAAATGGCCAGCAGGCTGAGCGCGGGCTCTTTGGGGTTTGTAATAGGGAGTAGCCCTGAACACATGTGCTTTTATTTATTTTATTTTATTTTTTTTGAGATGGAGTCTTGCTCTGTCACCCAGGCTGGAGTGTAGTGGCACAATCTCGGCTCACTGCAAGTTCCGCCTCCCATGTTCACACCATTCTCCTGCCTCAGCCTCCCGAGAAGCTGGGACCCCTTCTCGGCGCCCCCCACCATGCCCGGCTAATTTTTTGTATTTTTAGTAGAGATGGGGTTTCACCGTGTTAGCCAGGATGGTCTCGATCTTCTGACCTCATGATCCGCCTGCCTCGGCCTCCCAAAGTGCTGGGATTACAGGCGTGAGCCACCGCGCCTGGCTGCTCACATGTGCTTTTATAAAGGCATCAGCAGAATGGGGACTGCCTGAAAAGGCACCGCCATGACAAGCAGGCACGCTGGCCAGCAGTTTAGACACATACTGTAATGATTGCAGATGAGATGAAACAACGCAGGATCTGCTTCACAACAATATGGGAGCAAACGAGTACGATGGATCTTTGGGTGGGGGGGTGACAGAAATGTCAAAAATTGGATTGTGGTGATGGCTGCACAGCTCTGTCAGTTTACTAAAAATCACTGAATTGCACACACTTAAAAAGAATGACTCTTTTGATATTAATTTGTATCTCAATAAAGCTGTTAAACAATAATATGGCAGTGAAACCACAGCTCCACAAGGACTGACCATGAGTTGGTGACTGTTGCAGTCGGGTGACAGGTACACAAGTGTTCACTGTGCTATTCTCTCTACTTTTGTGCATGGCTGAAATTTTCCATAAAAAATGTTTTAAAAATACACTGCTCCAGCCAGCCGTGGTGGCTCATGCCTGTAATGCCAGCACTTTGGGAGGCCAAGGCAGGTGGATCACTTGAGGTCAGGAGTTTGAGACCAGCCTAGTCGACATGGTGAAACCCTGTCTCTACCAAAACATAAAAATTAGCTAGGTATGGTGACACACGCCTGTAGTCCCAGCTACTCGGGAGGCTGAGGTGGGAGGATCACTTGCACCCGGGAGGTGGAGGCTACAGTGAGCCGAGATCATGCCACTGCACTCCAACTTGGGTGACAGAGTGAAACCCTGTCTCAAAAAATAAATTAAAAAAAAATACACTGCTCAATAAGCTTAGAGAAAGAATTAACAGTCATTAAGACAAAAGAGGGGAGGGGGAAAAAAGGATTCAGATTTGCAGTCATCACTCTTCCCCTAAAGGCGTGAGAGGAAGTTGTGAATTTATTCTTTTCATTTCTAAAACTATAAAATAATAATTCTGTTTAATAAGCAATTTGAGCAGTGTGATACACAATAGGGCTTCACCCAAGAGTAGACAACGATTTTTGGTTCCTTTCCATAAACTGAATGAAAGTGCAATAGTTCACATTCTGACCACAGCCAGACCAAACAATGAGGCTCTCTGTTCACAAGTCACCAGTGCAAATACCAGCGCAGAGCCTAGGTGGGAGCAGGTCTGATGCAGTCAAGCAAACCTTGGCTGGTGTCTGAGAGTGGGGCCAGGTGGGCCGCAGGTGGACAGCTGTTGTCTGCGGCTTTCCATGACTCTCAGGTGCAAGGTGGGCTGAACACAGCTCATCTAAGTCTCCGTGAAGAGCGGAAGAAACCTTCTGGAGCAACGACGATCAGGACTGGCTGGAAAAACCACCCAGCTGCTTGGATCAACTTGGCAGCGACGAGAGCCTGAGGTGTCTGGAAATACGTCTGGCATGGTACAATTTTCCAAGCCAAACAAAGATGTTATATAAGCAGAAAAAGGAGCAAAAGGGCTCACACTAAGATGAGACTGACTCCTTACAGCCAAAGTCCAGGCTGGCTTAGCCCCCAGCAGGGAAGTCACCCCACAACACCTCAGCTTCGCTCCTTTCTAAACCTCTCACCTGCCTGAATCTCACAGACACCCTTGACCTCCTACTCTCTAGAGGCTCAGCAGATGCTTAAACCCCTTCCTGAAAGCTCACTGAAACTCCTGTTTATTTTACATTTCTCCTCCATGAAGTACCCGGATCCGGTTGGTACTGAGAGGAGGAAATGAAGGGAAAATTCACTGTCAGGCAGGTGGCTCCAGGAGACGGACTCTGAGGCTGCAGGGAGGACTGAGGCTGTACTCTGGCCACCTCAGGCAATGGGGTTTGTTGCAAAGGGCCTGGGGAGCCCTCTC